ACGGGGAATATCCTCTTAAAATTACAGTTCTTTAGCTTTTCAAATTCCCGAGTTATCAACTTAGCCAGAAAAAACTTTAGCGGGCCCGTAAGCGGGTACCACGCTTACCCGAGGGATGGGTTTGAGTGCATTAACACCTACCTGGACGGGGAGCATCCCCTTAAGATTTCAACTTTCTACCTTCTCAGATCCCCGAGTTATGGACTTTCCCGTGAAAAACTTTAGCGGGCTCTTACATGGGTAATGGCGCTCATTTTGGAGATTGGGGCCCGTAGGTGCATGTAGATTAAGTTCCCAAAGTTTCAGCCCTGTAGCTTTTATAGGTCTTGAGATGAAAATGCGTGACAGACGCACAAACAGACACACGGACACACAGATAACTCCTCGTCAATATGCGTTTTTTAATTGCATGGCTGCAAAAAACGCATAAAAATTAGTAAAAGTAGTAAAATTATTTCAACAAGATTGTTATAATAATAAGAAATGTTTCGGTTCATTAAGTCGTATACATTTCTTACCATTACCACAACTGGACCCCGTCAAATCACTTCAATGTATAACTAAATGTACACTCGAAACGAGTTCAATTTAAGTATTATTGAAACTTTAACAGCCACAAGTTTTATTCAGAGAGTGAAAATTTGAAGCAGTACCTCAATCGCTGGGACATATTCACGTTGCAGTTTCAATAGGGCGCTTAAAAGTTCCACTTGGGTGCTTTTACAACAGTGTGTAACAATACCACGAAAGCAGATTCGTATGCATTTCCTTAACAGAATATTATCTTCCTCAGTGTCAATTCCAAAAGTGCAATAGGAATCAGTGATTCGCTTCGCACCACTTATATAAGCAGTCCTGGCTGTGCAGTATTCATCTTCGATACTTTCAAGCCATTCCAGTGCTCCTCTGCAACAAAAGAATCACTTATGCTACGAATAAAGTTGTTGCAAACAAACAATGCTTTTGCAAAACCGACGCGGACTGGGAGGGGATCGAACCAACCATGTTCACTTTCAAACATGGCATGCTGGACCACTGCACCACTGTCCTTTATGTGTCCAACGCGGGACGCACCTCTACTGTATATCTGCCTTTCAAGACAAAATACAACTCTCTTTCCTCTTGGCCTCCCTTAAACAATATATGGTGGGAACTCCTTCGGCCAATTTTCCGCGGCCTTACGCGATACGGGTATCCCATTGCAACAGCTGGAAGTGACAGCGTTCGGGATGAAATGGCGATACTCAGTGCATAACAACAATTTGTTTCGTCCATTTGTTTCGATGGTAAATTGGCATTGGCGTTGGCCAGCAGGAAATCGAACCTGCCGCTTATGAACAACCTTCAAATGAGGAAACAACTGAAAGCCTTGCCAGCGGATGATTGCTGTTGACAGCATTTGCTGCCCTTGGAGTAATTCGGAGTGCTTCTGCCTCGCACAGAAAGTAAACACGAAGTGAGTTTCAGTTTTTGACAAACAAACCTCAGCGTCATTTTGGAAGAAACAACCAAAACTGGTGCACAAAAATTTCCCGCATTAATACCCATACGAATAACACGATAATAAAGCTATCCATAGCTGAAATACATACGTCATTAAGTAACGAGGTAAAAAATACGAAGAAACGTTGTCGAAAATAATACTTATATGAAGAAGCTGGCAAAGCCAATGTACCATGGCGCATGTGTACGAGTTTCAACGTGTGTGTGAACGTTCTGGCGAGAAAAAAATAATTCAAATGTGTTGCCTTGGAAAGCCCATCAAAAAACCCTCAAAGAATAAAGAAATCGCCACAAAAAAAAGCATCTGCGGTGCATAGAAAAGCAGATACACAGTAGAAGTGCTGGCAAGTTGTACCTATGTCACAAAAACCAGTGCTGCAGGGGCTCAGCATTTCGCGTGTCCGGATGTGAAGATGACTGGTTCGATACTCTCCCGATCCGTACTCATCTGCAAAACAGACTGTTGCTGTATATAGCCCTTGCAGAGATTAGACAAAGATAAATTGAATAACAAAATTAAATTCAACTGGCCAGCCGCACAACAGAGCCAGTAATGAATCCCAATCCCTCTCTGCCCCCACCTCCCACCGCCCCACGTGTACGCGTAACCCTCGGGCAATGGGAAGATGCCGGAGAGTAGCACCGGACACACGCCCCCGAACCCGCCCGGCGAGAAACACCATTTGCAATGCCACCGCTCCCGCCCCGCTCTTCGCGGAGCCAATGAAAAGCTTTCGTCCCAGGACTCAACGATTTCACTGCGGAATGAGCCATACTTGCCTGGAGGCTGCTGGTCGATGCTTGTTCGGCTCGTGACGTCTTGGTCCGTGTTGGTGCTGCGAATGATGCACGACAGGCCGGCACAATAAAGAACGAATAGTGGTGAAATTCAGCCAGCACGTTCACGGGGCTTGATTGATCAAAACGACTTAATTAGTCCAGTAAAAATGTGTAATTCTAATTATAAAATTATATAATATTTCGTTTTTCACTTTTTTAAGCCGCATTCTTGCGTGTTTGCAACTTTCATTCATTTTTGTCCTTTCTCTTTTTCATACCAACAAAAACCTTTTCGTTCTTCATTCATCTTCTTCCTTATCTTCTTTTAATCCCCCACCCCCATTCCCTTTTTCTTTATCGCCCCTCTTTTATTTCCCTTTTTCCTACTTCCCAAAACTTCCTCAAAATCATTACATTATTCTACAGGGCGGGCCCTAACTCACTTTATAAACCGTCCTTGCCTTTCCTCGGGGCCTCACTTCTCTCGGGCCGGATTCAGCTTCAACAATTTCGGATATCACCTCTGCAGCTACATCTCCCGCCTACCCAACCTCAGATCACCGCTGGACGGACCTCTTCGCCTCGAAGCCAATAATATTCGACCTCTCGGAAGCCTTTGCTAAATCCCTTGCCCAGCGGGTTATCACGTCCGTCAGAACCACTCTCTGTGTTATTGCTACCTTTGCCTGCGCCGTAACAAGTAAGACAGAAATGTTTTCATTCTCCCAGTTGGACTTTTAGTCAACGCAGCACGCCACACAGCAGTCCACCGTCCACGTGAACACCCCCTTCACAGAAAAATTTTTGCTGTTCTTTCAGCCCCCTCTTACCTCCTTCATTCTGTTACGGCTAAGGTATGAAACACGCAGAGCAGTGCGCCAGGGACTGCTCAACAGTAGCTTCATCTCGGTACCCATGTTCATTTTTCTTCTCGGCTCTGCCACAGCAGCATCTTGCGTTTAAGTAAGCCAGCCACATTAACAGATCAAGTAGGTGATAAATAGTTATGCAGTTACCGGCAGTCAAGAAAAGAACTGCAAAGCTTGTTGCACAATGCTTGTTACAAGCGGCTGGGCAAACGAAACTTTGGAATCCCTTCTACTGCCTCCCCGGCTGACCGCAGTAGGTTTACCCTTTATCTCAGACTAGATCCAGACT